GCTGCAACCACTCTGTAGAGTGACAAGTAAGTTCTGGCTTCAGGACAACATTGCTGTTCAGTGTATGCAACCAGAATGAATAAGAAAAAAAGGCAGAGCAAAAGATACTGGGAGATCTGCTTTCAGCAACCATAACATTGCATCAGAGAGTTTATTCCTGTTTACGGTGCAGTGAATGGAGAACATTTCACCACCCTGCTTCAGAAGATGTGGCTCCATGACGTTGTTTTGGCACACAGGATGTAGGGCCAGGATGTCCTACTGTGGCAGGCTTTTGGGGTGATGTTTTGCCATTCTTCCTCATTCTCTGTGGAGTGCCCTTCTGCCCTGAACATTCAGGGTTTGTTGCAGCTCTCTGACTCAAGCCTTGAAGAGCAAGCTGTTCCCAGGAGCCCAAGGGCAGCTGCTTTGACAGTGCCTTAGGCTACAAGCATCCCTCCTTCCTCTGGCTGTGCAGGCAGTCCAAGAAACCTTCAGGGACTTCCCTGCTTTCTTCCTCGCCATCACACTGAAAGAAAAGACAACTGGACTTGCAGACTCTCTCCCACTTCAATTCCTACTTCAAGACAATTTAACTCTCATATTTTAGCTCTCTTGTATGAACCCTTCCCAGCTGACATGATATACACTATGTTATTTTGCAATTAAAACCCAAACACATCAACATAGAAATTTTAATAAAACTTTTGTTATTGAGTTTTATTATTCCAACAAGTGTTGCTGTCAGCTAATAATCCCTAGAGTGGTCATCATGAAATATTCCAATAATTGGATTTTAATTAAGAAATTCACTTAGACCTACACTATTTTTGAAATCTAATTATGTCTTCAGGAAACTCATCCAAGTTGTGGTGTTTTCTGGACAACATACAGACTCAGTACAGACGCCTTCCATTACTCTAAGTCCTTTTTTCCTATTTCTTATGGTTATTATTAAAACTCTTCTATTTCCTGTATTGCCATTGTAGAAAATTGTCAAGATCTAATGGATGAAATAAAAGTCAAATGCAAGTAAAAATCTCTATTATAAATATTATGTTAGAAAAGAAGCTCCCTATGCAAAGAAGGTTAGAAAGATTTTTTTACCTCTTATATTGATGATCCAAAGACTCACTCCCTGGAATGTAAAGTCATTATTAATGAGAAAACCCTGTAGATTCACTTGGCTGTAAGTTTTACTCATACAGACAATATTTTATGTCTCCCCTCATCTCAAGTAATTTGGGGGGAAATCCTGAGTATGTATGTGCACACTGAGTGTCACCTGGAATAAGTTTCATGAAGCCTGTAGGCTTGCTCATATCACAGAAGCACTGAGTAGTTGAAACAACGCTGTTTGTACATTACCTTTTAGTCTTCTTCAATGCTGAATGTCACATCTCACTCCAATACTGTCTAAGTCCTCATGACATAACATCAGGAGAACTAGTTAAGAACACCATGAATACAAGACACTTCTCTTGAAGTGGTTGGAGTATTCCTGTATTTTTCCTTATGGCATACAGAGAAACACCGCTTTATGGTATGCCTTTGACTGTAAGTAGTCAGAAATCTGTGCATTAAAAATAAAACTTTCAGAGATATCTTTTTATATTTAGAAATATGAATGGTATATACAGTCATATTCTGACCTTGAAGGAATGGAAATAAAATGTGACAAGGGACTCTCTTTGTAGTATTTGTACCAACTATAAAAATATTCTGTTCAAACATAAAGATTTCCTTGAAACAAAAGAAATCTATTTAAAATGTGAAGAGGGAAGGGATAAGAAGAGAAAGTCTGATGAATTAATGGTTGGCAATATGAATAACATTTCAATAAGATTATTTACATGAGTGATATGAGGCATCTGGCCTGCACACTGTATAGTACAAATATAGAAAAGCTGTGGAGGCCATAATCTATCATTGTAGTGCATATGCAACTTCAGTTGAATTCAGTAGTACTTCAACATGCATATAGATGAGATACTAGAGTTGCATATGCACTACATGTGTTCTATGCAGCATACAGGCTGGATGCTTCACATCACTCATGTAAATAATCTTACTGAAATATTCTTTATATTGTTAAACATTCGTTCATCAGACCATTTTTCTTATCCCTCTAGATCTTCACGTTTTAAAAAGATTTTGTTGCTCTCTGACCCACCTTTTCCTTCTTTTCTTTGTTTTTTTTTTTTTCCAAGTAGTATTTCCAAAATAAGAAACATGGCCTCTACAAATAGGATTGCATGAGATTCAGTTCTGTTTACTATTTCATAAATAACTGTCCATGTTTAGACAGGTTAGCTACATTGTGCAGTAAGTTTAGCACAATAATTTGATATTTATCATTACGGCATTGTATTTTCTTTTAGTGCCTCAAGCAATTAAACCATGTGCCCATCTTCCATCGGAACCTGTAGCAGTTATTAATCACTTGCCTTTGTCTTTGGATTTTCTGCTTGCAACCCTTTCAATTGTGCAAGTCAGGATGCTATCTTTGCAGAAACAGGGAAGATGTCTAAAGACATCTTAGAATGTATTTCAAAGGTTTAAAAATAGTCCAATTGCATTCTAAAGTCTAACTGGTCTTTTTAAGAGTCCATTACTAAGCCCCGAATTTGTGATCCTTTAAAGCCTCAGTCCCCCCCTGAGGGGGACCTTATTGCTAAGATTATAAACAGCATCCAAATGTTTGAAATTAAAATTCACTTAAAACACCCTAATATTCCACTTAAGGTGCTCTACCAATATTACAGAATCACATAAAAGTCAAAAGACTAAGTGCAAAAATCTTAAATGTCAGATTGTCTTATGCATTGTATTCCCTTCGAAAAAGTATTACTTGTTCACAGGTGGAGTACTTTGGAGTCTGCTTTTTTTTTTTTTTTTTTTAATAAAAAAGATCAATCTGGACTCCCATATGCTCCTTACTCCTTTCTTCTGTAGTGACAATATAGGAAAGGAGCAGTCCAAGCAGCATTTCTGAAGGAAAGCTCAGTTCCATTCTAGTTGGAAACTTTGTCCCAGTGGCCTTTTGCTAAGGAGTTCAGCTGAAGAGCAAAGAAGCCCTCAATGAAGTCAATGAGACCTTGGATCTGTTCAAACCTGACAGAAAACATGTTCATCCATCCTTAACAACTTTGCCTCAAGAGCCTGCTCACAACTTAAGTAGATGCCACACAGATCAGGCTGTTTAGAGGAGACCTTGCTGAATTTACATCATGAAGAAATTTCAGTGGGTTGAAGTAAAGAGTTTGCTTGTGATTCCAGTGGAGCCAGAAGCTCCACCACAGTTCTAACCTAGGTGAGGTGTAAGGATATGGATGAGAAAGACCAGGAGGGCCTTCTTCTATTTGATCAGATGAAGGAATAATTATTCTCCAAGGATTACTTCCTTGTTGCTCCAATGAAGACAGTGACCAGAACTTGGAGAAACTGATTCAAGTTATACATACAGTAGAGCTGAGTTTTCCTTTCCTGAAGAAATGATGTCTTCTTCAGGAACCTGAGCCATTGGCAATTTCATATCTAAGGTAAGAGTAACTGTGCTGAGTCTAAACAGCAGCTTATGGCAATGATCAGCTGTATGCTCCGTGCAGCTTATGGCAAGTTTGTTCTACGCAAAGAGAGCGATATCTATCTAGCAATCTCTCTCTCTCTCTGTCATATATCTCTAGATTGAGTACTAAGTGTGGTTCAAGCCCCACACTTATGGAGAAGTAAGAGTGAAAGAGATAGGAATGAGGGAGTTGCAAGGGAGAAGTCAGCTGCAATTTTTTGTTTGTTATCCTCTTGAAACAAGAAGTGTCTAGGCATCTTTAGCCCACACTGTAATGCAGAGGCTGTCTGGAGGGGCAGGATGACAGCTTGATTCCTTGCAGGCTGCATGCTTCTGTCCAAAACTGTGATGTGAGCACTCCATATGTCTAGAAGAGTGATGGTGCTGGAAGCATATGGAAGTGTCCATCTTCCAGGTGTTTGGAGCAGAAATGGCCATGGGCAAAGCTCTGGTGCAGCTCCTTCAAAGAGTACTCATTACCTTCTCCATTCTTTTCCCGATCCCCTTTTATTATGGTGTTCCAAACTCAGACCCTCAAATTAAAACAGTATTTTACATCTTGATACTGAAGTCTCAGATTGCAGATATTAATTACCACTACGTGCCCTGAGGGAAGCAAGGATTTGGCAGGACAACTGAAGTCTCCCTTTTCTTTCTTATTTCCCTCTCTTGCTTATTGGTTCCCCTATGGGAGGTGATAAATTTGACTTTCGTTATTAAATCTGGGCAACTGGTAAGGCTACCCTGTGCTGTTGGTATCCTCCCTTTCATCCTGTCCCGGTGTCACACTGGTAATGACACCATTTTGGGGGATGGAAGAGGGTACGAAAAAACCCCATAGGATTCTTTGTAAAGAAGAAGAAAAAAACAAGGTCAATGAGACCTTTCCCTTTGAGTAACAGCTGGCAGGATAAGCCACAGTACCGGGCAGGGAAGAGCTTCACTCCGAGGGGCTGTTCAGCTACAGGTTCCTGCTTGCGTGGGAGAAGCAACCCTTTCCTTCTGGAACTTGTCTCCCGCATCCGCGATCCCGCCGCCTCTGTGCCCGGCTGGCGGGCACCCGCTGCCTTCGCGGGCGAAGCAGCACTGTGGGTGCACGGGACACCCCTGAGGGAGGTGGAAAAACTACAATGAAGGGGAAGAAAGAGAGAGAAGGTGCTCTCCCGTGCTCCTTCCAGGCAGACAGCCGGCTCCCGCGGGCAGGCAGAGAAGGAAAGGGGCTGTGCCCATGCAGCAGCGCGGGCAGCAGAGCGGGCAGGAAGGGCAGCGCCCGCACCCCGGCAGAGTCAGGCAGCAGGGCGGACAGAGCAGGCAGCAGGGACAGGCAAGTCAGCGGGGACAGGGCAGGCAGCAGGGACAGGGCAGGACACAAGGCAGGCAGCAGCGCGGGCAGGGCGGGCAGGGCAGACAGCGCAAGGCAGCTCGCGCCGCCCGGGGAGGGCTCTAATTCATCACCCCGTTCAGCGGAGAGGATGGGACGCCGCTAAACTCCCCTTCCTCCCTCCTCCCTTCCCCCTCGCCAAGCAAGCCCCCCCCCTCCTCCCCCCTCCACTCCTCGCTCTCTCTCCCCAAGCAGTGAGGCTCGGACAGTGCTCGGCTCCAGCGCTTATTTTAAGATGATCGGCCAAGGTCTTTGCAGACAGATTTTATCTGAAGTTAAATAGTGGGCGCTCGCCGCTCTCTCGCCAATAAGTCATTTTTAATAGAGACAAATCGCCCTGGACGCCCCGGAGCGCCGGTGCCGCCGCTCCTGCCCTCGCCCCCCGCCGAAGGCGAGCGGGCAGTCCGGGCAGCTCCCTGCTCCCGTAAGTGTCCTGCTCGGCGGAGCCGGAGCGCGGCCGTGTGCGGAGAAGGGGAGGAGAGGGGGGGAGAGCCTTCCAGCCGCCCCGCCGCCCTGACAGTGCCTGCGCTGGATGCACAGCGGCCGCGGGACACCTCGGCGCGGAGCGCGGCGAGGAGATGCGCAGGGGCGGTGGGCTGCACCGCGGCACTCAGCCCCTCTAGGCTTGCCCATGGAGCGCCCCGCGGAGCCCCGGCCGCCGTCGGATCCCCCACGCCGTACGTATCCCCGCTGCGGCCCCCCCGCGGCGCCGGAGCTGTCCGCGGGCCGCGGGGGCGGAGGAGGGCTGGGGCCGGGTATGGGGGTCCTCGCCCGTCGGGGCGCCCCCGGGCGCGGTCCCGGCCCGGGGCAAGGCACGGCTCGCCTTTGGGAGAGGCAGAGGGAGGTGGATACTTGTGGGGGTACGCAAAGCCTGCTCCACCGTACCGAAGGCAAAGCTCTCTGCCTTGGCTTTAAGCGCCCAGGAGCATCCGGAGCCCCGATTCCAGCGTCTACGGTCCCCTTCTCTCCGCTCTGCTCTCCAGCGCGCTGCCGGGGCTCCGCGGCCAAGTGGCGGGTGGCTGCCGCCCGATGCCCACCGAGACCGCAGGCAGGCGGGCAGGGCTGGCGCTGGCACCCCTGGGCCATCCCAGCCGACACCAAGGGGCTCTCCTACCCAGTAAAAGGACTGAGCGCTGGGGAGTGCTGCCTACAGGCGATCTGCCACCACCTCGGACCGTGCGATCACTTTGCTCTGACGCTGGATTAACTCGATTTTAATCGTTTTTTGGTTTCCCCCACCCCCATTCACCCCCCCATCTCCTCCTTCTCTCCCGCCCCCCCGCCACCCCGTTCCCTACACACCTCTCTTCGCCCCTTGTCTCAAGCCTAACCTTGTCTTGTGGTCATGGGGTCTATAATTTCATTTTTGTCTAGGCTGGTGAGAGCTCTGCTTGTTCTGTAAAGTGGATGTCAGGTGGATCTATGTTCTGGAAGGAACAAAGAGGCAGCGAAGGCAGCGCGGGGGAAGTTTGAGCGGCGAGGATGCAGGCTGTGTACTGGTACGCGGTCCTTCTGCTGCAGCCCACCCTCTACCTGGTGAGTGCCCCCGGCCTCTCGCACGGGCCGGGGAGCGGGGAGCTCGGCGGGGGGAGGGCACCAGCCTGGCGGAGAACGAACAAACTCACGGCAACTACTTGTGCCCCGTAGCAAGCCCTGCCCCGCCGTCCGGGGTCGGGCCGGGCCAGGGGCGGGGAGGCGCGGGACTCGGCCAGGAAATCTCGATAGGACACGGGGATGTTGCGGGGCAGACCCGTAACTTCTCCTTGGGGGGCTAGAATCGGGTCGGGGAGTCCCGGGCCGCGTCCCCCGGTGCCACCTCCCGGGCCGGGTCCTTCGGCATCTGCGTGGGCACCGGAGTCCCTCCGCAGGGGCTCCTGGACAGGCTGTGGGATGAAGGCAACTTCTTGCCCTCTGCTCCTTCCTGAGGGTGGGAGCCCCTCTGGAAGGGAACCCTCCCGATGTGCCACTACGGGCGGCGCGGCACAGGCGGGAGGGCATTCGGCGGCGAGCACAGCGAGTGTTTTCCGCGTGAAGTGTCATTGACTTTCGTAGCAAATCTCCTTTAAGATTACCGGGGGAACACGACTAAACAACGGCGTTATCTCCTTTCACACACACACACACACACACTTTATTCCCTCTACGACCGCAAGGAACAAAAACCAGGCAGGCTGCTCCTTTGCAGCCCGCGTCCTCTCTCGCCTGCGACGCGTTAAGCAGGCAAACGCTTGGCGGCAGCTCGTCCCCGTGCGACGGGGAGGGAAAAGACCTTTTTCCAGGAGCGCTGCCGAGAGAAGCATCCCAGCTGGGGACTGTGCTGGGGGAGGCGACGGCGGCGGCCCTGCTCCGGCTTCTGCTCCGGCTGCGGCCCCGTCCCCGCGGCCGCCGGGCGCTGCCGCCCCGCCGCTCCCTGCACTGGCGCGGCCGCGCCACCCGGGGGCGCTGCGGGGCATCGCGGGCGCGCGGAGCGGGGGCAGCCAATCGCGAGCGGGCCCGGCTCGCGCGGGGGCGCGTGGTGGGGCCGGCGGCGCGCGCCCCTCCCGCGCCCACGCAGCCTCCGCGCGCTCGACCCATCCCGGCCCATCCCGGCCCATCCCGGCGTATCCCGGCGTATTCCGCGCCGTCCCGTGCCCGCCCGACGTGGGGGGCCCTGCCCTCTCCGGGCGGTGCCACGTCTGTCGCGGGAGTCTCTCCTCCCTGCGAATTTTATAGCCCGGGCTGAGGGGTAGAGGGGTGGGGGAAATGGGGAGAAAAGTGCGTGGCAAATAATCCATCAAAAAAGCCGGAGCGAGATCGATACGTCGTGTTAAATTTTAAATGTGTTTGCTGGCAGTTAAACTGCTCTGGACTCATTACAACAACAGTGCTGGATTTATTCTAATGCGCTGCAGTCTGAACAACAAGCGCATTAATTCTCCTTTAATTGTAAACTGGGAGCATTTGAAAACCATTCAGTGTGCAAATTATGCTGATTCAATTACCGTTTAGTTACAGACTTCATTACCTGAATGCTTTTCTTTTTTTTTTTTTTTTTTTTTTTTTTCCGAGGGTTTGGCATTGCAGAGTGAAGGAGACGATTTTCCAGTTTCCCCTCCAAACAATGCGAAATATGATACAAAAAAAAAAATCTCGTGAATAAAAGACAAGCTAGGGGGAGGGAACGCGTCCTTCGGCTGGGCTGTGTCTTCTGCCAAAACATTCGGGGAGGATCCAAAGGATTTCCCTAACACGATTCTTCCTTCTGAATCGATACTTCCACGTTTATGCCAATCTCTTCCTGTTCTCTGTATTTCGGGAGTGACTCTGAAAGTTTGCATTAGGCCATCGCGTGATAAGAAACTATTTATTAGCAGCGAAGCATGAAGTTTTGATTAAAGCTTTAATGCGGTGCCACAAAGCAGCAAGGTGCAGCATTTTGTTGTGCCTATCCGTGTGTGCACATCACTCTGTGTGGACTAGAACAGTTTCAAATTAGGAATTTAATTTTCAGTGCTCAAACTGTTAGGAAGGGTAAATGAAATGGCAGCACAAACAGCTTCCTACCGAGTTTGTTAAAAAACCCTTTTTTGGGAGGGGTTAACAATATAGGTGAGAGAGAAAATAGCCAGTTTCCCCTTCGCTTGAACTAGGAGGTGTTCAGGGAGAGTGAACTGCTGCGACGAGGCTGGGCTGCCTCGAAGTTACTAATTTACAGACACTGCCTGCCTCGTAATTTCGCTTCACCCAGCAAACCGCTGCTCTTTGTGTGTGTGTGTGGGGGGGTTTTTTTCCTTTCCCTTTTTCCCCTCCACCTTTAAACTTCTTTGTAATGAAATCTTGAAGGGGAAAAAAAGTGTTTCTGCTTTTCTCCCCCATTTTAATAGAACCATATGTCATCCAGCCTTACTGCCTGAAATTTATAGAGGTCATAGCCGATCAAAACGAGTAGGAATTTTGCTGGGCTAGAGATGGTTTGCCGTATTATGTTTATTGATAAGAACATTAGGTGTCCTTTGCAAGACGTGTATTTTTTCCTTGTTTTGAGCTGTGCAGTGTATTGAAAATGTTATATTTGATTTGCACTGGAAATGTATTTCTTTTGGCCTAAATGGATAACTTAGTACTTATTTGGTAGAATTAGGAGTTAACCTTTAAAGGCTTGCAGTTGTTTTCCTTCTTTACTTTTAGAGAGCTGCAGAAAATGTTCAAACACCTACGTTCGGTCTTATTCACCACGACACTCCACTGCTCTTCTTTCGAAAGCATCTTAGTCTAATTCTAATGGATAATATTTCATTAACTAACAGTGCTGTTCTGAGCTCAAAATCGTCAGTAAGGAAGCACGTAAATAGTAAAGAAAAAACCCCAAAAGATCGCAGACTTTCACAGGACCGAGTTCTGTTTATAAAGACACCGGGATTTTATACCATTCCCGTAACGGAAACCTTCTCGTTGTACCTCCTGCCTAGCTGACGCTGAATTTCCAGTTCGACACCACAGGACAATAAAATGCCAGGCTGTTTGTTTTCCTTTCCTCCTGTTTTTCCCCCCTGTGTGGAAGCAGCATGCCGTAGAAGCGACTACAGAACGCGCGGGCTGTTAGCAAGGACGGCAAGGATCCTAACGAGTTATTTCTCACTGGGACAGGTCAAGCAGGGCCTCGGAGGAGGAGGCAGATCGTTTCCGTGCCGGCAGCTGCGGAGCCCGTCGGTGCGGCGGGTCCGGCGGGCTGTGCCCGGCAGCTCCCGGCGGCGAAGGGCGCTCGCCGCGTCCCGCCGCTCCCCGCCCGCATCCTGCGCACCCTCGGGAAACGCGGCCAAAGTGCCTCGCAGATAACAGGACTTCATCCCCCATCACGGTCACAGGCTTTACCCCCGCACACTCGAGGGAGATTTTCCCGCGCCGTACAATCATGGAGTGGTAACATGCACCTCTTTTGCTGGGATCATCCCGGCTCGAAGGGACTTTGGCTCGTTACTTAAGTACTCCTTACCCGGAGTAGCGGGTACGGAACTAAAACCAGTCGGAGTTTTGCGTGGCATGCTGCTAGGGTAAGGATCCCTCCCCTCCTCAGCCCCCAACCTGTCTTGTCTTCTCCCAGTAAAGTGTTTATTCACCAGTGGGTTTGTTAATTAGGATACACACCGGAGCCGGCTGGCAGAGCGCTTTAACTCCATGTAGAACTCAAGCAGTGCGAGAGCAAAAGGAGGGGTGATTTTTCCCCCCGCGACGAGAGCTGTTTCGCAGGGAGAGCTTCTCTGCGCGGTGCTTTGTCAGAAGAGTAGAACTGCGGAGCTCACGGGGCACCTTCTTTTACAGGGCGATGGCTTTGGCAGAGGGGTTTTGGAAACAGCCTACTAATCTCCTCCCCGTGCCGGGCTGGGATTTTAAGGTCTATTCCACACCGCCACTGTAGCTCGGAGGCCTTCTGGCAGCCGAGAGGAGCTTTCCTGAAAAATCGTTGTGAATCATAGAGGTTTAAAATTGTCCTCAGCGGTGGCACACTTGGTACGGTATTTGCTGAGGGGGTAAACAGAGGGTTAGTGGCTCCAGAGTTTGTGTACATTTAATTTCGCTGTGTGTCGCACTGTTTGCGGTCATTTCACCTCGGTTAATGAAAGCTGTGGTGAACGTGAGGAGATATCATGTGCTAGCGAAAACAAGTTGATTTGTTTTTGCTTCTTTCTTTTTAAAGATAGTTGCTGACTGTGTCCTACTTTGTCATGGAAGAAAAAACCCCAAACAAACCACACCTCTATAGGCAGCGAAGATAAAAAGAAAAGAGAAAACAAAAGAGAGAGAAGGCATTGTCCTATCGTAATCATTATCCACAGTATTTTCTCAGAGGCATTTGGTGCTGAATGCATTCGGGTATTGCTTTTTTCCTCCCAAAAGAGCGATTTCTTGCAATTTTAAGTTTGACGTCGAAGGCGGGGAGGGCGGGGGAGAGAGCTTGGCGAGCAGGGAGAGAAGTGGCTTTTTGTTCGGGGGAGTTTATGTAGCCTTGAGATGGTCCTTCTCCCTCTTTCTAAAGGAGTTAGAGAAACGGTGTCGCGGTGGAGTAGGGGGGGAAATTACCCTTTCGGAAGGCGCGGGAATAACAACCGGACTCCCATCTCGTGTAGGCGAAACAAACTTTTTTTTTTTTTTTTTTTTTTTTTTTTTTTAACGTAGGATGGTGCATCCTTTTCTGGGCTTCCCTACTTCCTAATCACCAGGGACCTGTGCTAGTTTAAGAAGGGGTTTCCCCGCACCGAAATGTCTTTTTCCTGGTGTTTAGTATACACTATTTCTATTTATTAAATAGCTGGAGAAAGCAGTCTGGAACAGATTTCGCCTTTTAGGGAGGTACCTGAACATAATCCCTGCCTCTCTTCTACTAGACACATCTTCCAAGTAGGTACGGTATCTAGAGGTATCCATTTTAACCTCTTTGATATTTCCCTACATCTTTAAACCGCCATTTTAATTAACAGCAAGCCAATTTCCCCAATCCTCTTGGAAAGTGCGGTGAAGCAGGTTAAGAAACCAATTGCTTGGAATAGCCAGCACTTGCA